TATAACAACATGAATGATCTGAAAAGACTTTTTTTTTATGATTTTTGGGAAAAGGAAGGTTGAGTAATCTCTATTTGTATAATATGGCACTTTCATTTCCAGTAGTTTATGATTATATACAGTAACATGGGCAAAGTACAAGATGTTGAAAACAACATCAGGTGAAACATCTGAACAAGTGGGGGGCACTGAAGTAGCTGTCAGCCTAGCTTGGTAATGCCAGGAAATACAGGAACTCCAGAATCCAGATGGGAAAGGATAAGCAGGTGGAAGGACTCATTAATGCCGGACAGCAGGTGAGTATGGGTAAGACTGTTTTGCATGAATGTAAATGGCCACCATTAATAGAGGGCAACACAAAGTGATATTTATGGATGTCTGCAGAGATCTCTGGGAAGTATGAACTACTTTATGCATCTCAAGGAGATGTTAACTGGAAAACCCAAGATACTGGAAGAATCTGGCAACCAGTCCCACTGAGGACTCCATGGATGTGTCCAGACAAGTGTGGAAATGTCGTACGTGGCTGTCTGCAGTGCTGCACACCACACATGCAGGTGTTCCTTGTGCTGCTAATTCACAGCACTGGGTGGGGGGGTTTGACCCCGGAAAATCCTAGGGTCAAAAATACCCGCACCTAAAAAAAGCAGGGGGGAGGGGCACGTGCACATGGCAGCAGTGCACGCTGCCCAAAACCAGAGTCTGGCCAGCCAGAGTCACACTCCAGCTGCTGCCCACGTTTCTTGCTGCAAGATCACCATGGCTGCAGTTCCCGCAGGCCCTCAGGACCCCAGGTAGGGATGCTGGGGCCAGCACAGTTGCTGGCCCTAGCCTCTCTTACCCCACCCTGGACAACGTGCCATGCACCATTACAAAACATGTTGTGCCACTGTTATTTGTCCCTGGGGAAATGCATGTGCCCACTGGTGGGGATGTACCCTATGCGTGGTAAGAAGAGTGGAGTGCAAGAGGCCTAGCTCACCCAGTCATGCCAGATGGCAACACACCTATCTCTACCTCTGTGAGGTACAGAAGAGGCCTGCTTCAACTGCGGGCTCCTGCTTTTCAGGGAAGAAACGGGGTGGAGAGTGGACTAAGACTATGTGGGAGGGTAGAGCTACAGCAGCCCCCATATCAGAATATGTCAAGGGCTCTGGATCATCTAATCCAGCCATGGTACTTACAAACGATTTCCCGGGGAAAGCCTCCGGAGAGAGCTGAGAACACACCATTCGTTGGTATTTATAACTTTTATTTGCAATACTTTAGGTCCAAGTTTCAAACTGCAATATTTTTACACTCAAGACACAGTCATGCACAATCCATATTTCAATTTTCTATTGCTTCAACCACAATTTAAAATAACTTAATATTGGAAACAAAACAAAAAAAAAAATCTTAAAAAAAATAAATGGCTGCTGAGGTCAGTAAGATGGATCCATGCCATCAGCACATTTACAAAGTAAATAACTTAGTTCTCTTTTTAAAAAGCTCATAAGTACCTCTTAATCCAAAGTTACAGAAGAATTTCACTACACGTTGTTTTGTTTTTCTTTTCTTTTTTTTTTTAAACAGATAACACGTCCTAAAAAAAGGAATGTACAGCAAAATGAGATACATTTCTGATAAACAATGAAAATGTAGGATCCTCCTCTGTGTACATTTGTCTGGATACCCTGAAGAAAAATCCAGCAGACACCAGTATCATTGTGAACCAGTTGAACTGGGGCTTAGAGCTGGTTAAAACTCACACCAGTTAAAGGTCACAGAATTCTTGTGCCAGACTTTACTAGAACGGAGCATGTGCGTGTGCGTGTGCCCCACACGTGCTGTGCAGTATGAGCCCATGTATGTAACTATAAAAGAACACCCTGGCATGGCCACCGGATTGAAGTCCTACTCACAATATTAGTTCTTCTCCCCACCAGGCCTTGGTCACTCGTCAGAGCTGCATCAAGAAGAGCCGACTTGCCTTTCGTGGCTGACGACAATATTCTATTGACAGATCTACCAACGTTGCCTAGTGCTAGTCTAAAACAGTGCAGCAAAAAGCGACTGCATTTGCATTTTGTTTGTAACCTGGAAGCTTAGAGGTCAAATCTTAGCAGGCCTGGATGGAAAAAGTTTGCATGCCTCAACGGCATGGTTTTTGGCCTATTCTGACCTGTTAAGCACCGTACCATGTACAAAGAGAGAGAGAAGTCAGGATCCTCTTTCACCCCCTTACTTAGCCAGGGGAGAATTTCCAGCAGCCAGCACAAAGTAACATTCAACATAGATATCTATGCCTTCCTAGGACCTGCTAATTAAGTGCCAGGTCACACTGGCATTGGAGTCAACGGCAAAACTCTTCCTGACTTCCACAATAGGTGAGCTGAGCCCTACATCTATTCCCTAAGTATGCAGTAAGTTTGGACAGATGAAACAGAGAACATTCAGCAGCAAAAGGATGTTCATTTAAAACAAATCAACCTGACGTCATTCCCTCATGCTTCCTACAATATGATGCCGGCCAGTTGCACTGAGGAGACCTAGATTCAGGAATGTGCCTGGGACTGCAGGCAGTGCTCTAGTGGAGGCTACACATGATGGAAGCAATAGACCCATTCTCCAGGTTGAGGAGACAGATTTAAAGCCTTGCTGTAAACAGGCAATCTAGAAGGGAGTGAAATGAGAAGCCTGACTACTTTATCTCAGCCAGTTACAAGGTCTTGTTTAGCAGCCACTGTGGGCAGGAGGAACAGAGAGGGAGTAGAAAGACTTGAGTAGTCAAAAGCAAGAGATTACAAAGAGCAACGATGGCAAGAGTTAACCTCTGTTTTATCTCTCTCTCTGGAAATAACCTTTCAGCTATTCCAAGCCCCTGAAAGGAGTGAAGGCTAGCGAGGAGGACACACTAATAAGAACCATTAAATTCATACCATCCTCTTTCCTAGACTGCAAGTGAAATTCAGGTTTGAAAGTATGTGCTAGACCCTTCTGCACTCCATCCATGACTGCTCGTTCAGACTGACCATTCATTGCTCCTGATTTCAATTCTATTTTCCTGTTCACTTTGACACCATTCAGTACATAACTGGCCAAAGCAGGTGTTGCTGGCTATGCCTTGCAGTAAATGGGCACTAAGCATGAGTGGGTGGGTGTCCCTGGGTCAGAAACAGCAGCATCTGGCATACAAACAGGAATGCAGACACGGTTAGTCCTCTAGGAAAACATCAAGTGCAAAGCCACTATGCACCAAAATTATATAAAAAGGTAATTTCTCATTAAATCAACTTGATGAGTTATGTTGTCCACAGTTTCCATAGTCAGGGTCAGATTCTGAATGCTCACTCACCAAGAGTAGCTAAGCAGGGATAGGAACAGTTGCAAATTTAGACCCTAATGACCGAGCAGAAGGCACCAGTGAAGAGAGTATAAGTGTCCTTCCCCTTCCTCGCCATTCTCACAACACCGTGTTTGAGACTGCCACTACTCCCAAAGATGCACATGTCCAGTGTCAGGCCAAAGCAAGTGGATTTCACCACCACATCGTTCATACACAATCCCAGTAGGCTATCTTGGCTATACAACATTTATACATAGGGGAAGGTGCAGGTGAGCTTCTACCAGCTTCAGCCAAGCAATTACCCCTTTACATCAAAGAGAGAAAATAAAGGACTACCCTTTTACATCAAAGAGAGCAAAGGGAAGGGTTTTGTTGTTTCACATGGTACCAGCAGAAACCCAAGCGAGATATCAGAATGGTCTCCTTTGAAACTCTGAGATTGTCCTTTCCCTGTCTCTCTCAAAACAGGTGACTAAAAATGAAGATACTTGTCCAGTCCAAAGAAAAAACTATTTGAAAAGCTGGAGGCTCTGCCTTCTGGACTGGAGTCATTTTCCCACCCCATTTAAGTTACTGCATGTGAATAACTGACAATCCACTGATGAAACATGTAGACTAAGAGCCTTTGCAAGGCTCACAAGGGCCAATCTAGCTTTACTGTGCATGCCCTGATATTTCAAGCAAAGCAAACTTTTCTCCTGTCTTCAACGGTAGGTTTTATGGATTCTCTCTGCTATGAATCAAGTTGTTAACAAACTCATTGAACAAAGAAATCCACTTATTTACATGCTCAAGGTACAGGGGTAAGGAATATTCCTTATGTCGCCAAACCTCTGGCTAAATATTGGAAGTAACATCTTCACAAACAATAGGATATGATTTAGTGTTTCCCTTTCCTAGTGGCTGGAATGTGCTTTGTTTCAGAATGGAGGGAAATCAGGGAGGTTATTTAACAGAAGTATAATGCTGAGATGCACCTGCTAGCCTCAAAGAAACCTGATCAACAAAAATGAAAGATCAAATAAATACTCAATTTCATCTGCGCACAATGAGGTTTGGCCAACCAGTAGCCAACGGTGGAAAACAGACGCACATATTTACAAGAGCAGACGAGACATGAAAGGTGATAACACCACCATTGCCCGAGCCTGCCACCAAGACCTGAGAGCACTGTAAGATCCAGTCATTCCTTGGGCTCCTGTGAAGGTAGGCAGGAGCCTTAATACGTCTATAAGGTTTTTATTCCCCCACCCCCTTTTCTTTTTTCTTAAATAAATAATCTGTACTGTGCTTCTCAAGCTTCCCTGACTTTACTGCTGTCCTGTTCCTTTCTCAGGACCTTCTGGATCCCCAGGTAGCAAAAGGGCTTTTTTCACACTTTGTCATGATAGGGGACTGGAATAATATTCAAGAGCTAGATGAAGCTTTACTGGACTATGACTTGAAAATTAAAATAGAAAAAGGCAAATAACCAATCTATTAGAACCTGGAATGAAAGTATTTGACCAACGTACAATATGTAAATCCTTATATATCTATATCTATAGATATAGATATATCTATCTATCTATCTATATATCTATATCTATATAGATATATAGATATAGATATAGATATATAGATAGATAGATAGATATATCTATATCTATAGATATAGATATATCTATCTATCTATCTATATATCTATATCTATATAGATATATAGATATAGATATAGATATACACACACACACATGCTTTTGGCAGCAGGTCTCTCTAATACTTCTTAAAAATATATAAGAGATGCCTCTCAGCAATCAAGATGGTACCAGAGATTTATTGGATTTGTTTGCTTCTTTTTCTTTCTGCAAGGGCAATGCCTATCCTAATGTGCTGTTACTTGAGCCTGTAAGTCATGTACAAGGTTTGTCCCTCTCCAGACTGCTTTCCACATTAGTATTCCACTTGGAAGTTGGCCTCCTAGTTCAGGAAACTGTAAGAGCAGCTGCCATCTTTCTGCATCTGGTGACGCGCAGCATTTAGTGTTGCAGAATATCCCAAAGCAAAGGGCTTTAGGGATGCTACCAGTCCCGTTAGCAGGCGTGTAAACTAATTGGTCCCTGTTACAAAGAACTCAAGCGGGGCTTGCATGTTGGATAGAGTCACTGGCAGGACCTGGATTTCAACAGTATCTTGTCAGTATCCTAGGAATTATTTTTTTTTGCGTAAAATCTCTGGATTTGCTGCTGCAAAATAAAATAAACACTTTTTAAAAAGAAAATAAAAATTAAGGCCTCTTATGAAAACAGCTGCATTTAAAAAGCTAGAGCCAAATATTTCCTAGACTGGAGTGTGCACTGCTCTGAAGAAATGAAGCTACCACTTAAAAAAAAAAATCATCTCTTATCTTTTTGGGGTTGCTTTGAAGGACAGGGTTGGGGAAGATGCCAACATCTTTAAAGCTGAAGAAAACAAATATGGAAAAACAGTAAATCAAATAGCATAATCTCTCAAACGTAAGGTTTTGTATTCTGTGCCTGGCAGAGACTCTCTGGAAAAACTGATTTTATTAAGGGACAGATGTATGCACCTTTGTGGCTAAGGAAAGTAAAAGTTACACTGGAAATAGAAACTGTCGCTTCTTTACTACTTGTGTAAAAGTCAAATGCATTTCATTCATTCACTGACTCATTACACAACAAAGATGGGCCTTCCTGTGCTTGAACCACTGGATTTTCAAGCCTTAACTCGCATTGCCTGGATATCTAGCTTGGGTTGACAAGGAAAAAAAAACTACCACCTCACAAGAGGGGAAGAACCTTTTCTTGTTTGGGTGTCAATAAATAAACTTCTTCTGCTCCCCAGGTGATTCAGAAAAGGTTAATTAACACTTGACTATGATAAACTAATTAATGCCACCTCAGTCAAGCTTCAAAGAAAACAGTCAAACAGTGAGGACTGGCCAGTAGGCAATACTAAAGAAGAGTCACAACATGAAGACCTGAACAGAATAGGAAACCTGGACTAAAACCCCAAACCAAACAAGGGCTAAAGACCTAATCCAGGAAAGGGCTGAGCACCATAAACTCCTTCTAACTAGAGCATGAGTTAAAGACATCTAGCACCTTGCAAGGACACTCAGCACCTTGCAGCATCAGGCCCTCAATGGGTACGTCTACATGTGCACATTTATTGCGCAGTAACCTAATATAACTGCGCAGTACAGGCACATATCTACACATGCATGCCCATACTGCACAGTAACTATGGCGACTTATGCCAATTTGGGCATAAATCTGATGCCTGCATGATGCAGGTATCAAATTTATGCCCAATTAGTTACTGTACAGTAACACACGTGTAGATCCCTTACTGTGCAGTAACACTGTGTGTGTAGACTGACTTGGAACTGACTTTAGTCCCAACTCAATCCACACACAGCATTAATTTGCTTTAATCCCAGCACATGTAGACCCCGGCCCATTCCCATTTACTGCGCAGTAATTTACTGTGCAGTACATTTAAGCCAGCATAAATGCACGTGTGGACACGCCCAGTGGGAAAATTGCCTTGATCTGCATTAGAAGGCTCTGCTAACAGTGACAAAATCTCTGCTACCCACAGCCAGGATCCAAGGGCTGTTTCAAAGGGCTTGGATTTTGGCTTAATCATCTTACTAAAATACAGCAGCAAAAATCCATATAAACTCCTTTGCTGAGTGAAAACTACTCAAATTTGCCACTTGTGAGTAAAAATAAAATACAAATTGCTTAATTAATCCATTTTGTTCCTTTACAGATAAATGTAGTAGTCAGCACAATCCTCAGTCATTTCCAGGAGTTAGTCTCCCCTCGACAAGTGCACACTTGCATTATGGGGTGTTTGGTGTGTGCACTGAGGACAGTTGAAAGCAGACCCAGTTTATGGCTGTAAGAATATTTATATAGTCCAGTCTGCATTTTTCTTCCTACATTTGCCTTTGCCCTGGCACTATGCAAAGCCTTTTTTTTAGATGCCTTTCCTCTTCCGGCTTCTGCTATACTCACTCATGCAGAACTAAATCCTGCAAGCCCTTACTCACGTAAGTAGTCCTCATGATTTCAGTGGGATTGCTCACGTCTAGATTGCTTGCCTGGGTAGGAGTTCATAGGAATGGATCCCTCAAATTTATTGGCAATGTTAGAGATGCTACACACCCTTCTTCAGCAGACACAATGTGGACATGAGGACAGGCAAACTCAGTTTACAGAACTAAAAATATCACTGAGCTAAGACTGCCCCTCCCCTACACCAATGCAAACCTAGGTAGGGTAATAATTCATTTCCACAGGATTGCCAGGGCCTGGATACAACTGATGGCAGATCTTAGCCTGTTGTCTTGTAGTTCTTACAGTCCAATCCCACAGTGTTGAGTGATGACTGCAAATTGGTTGAGCCTCCTCAGCTCCCTTCAGCGATAGTGCTCTTCACTTAGTTTTCTGTGGGAGCTCTGGGTGCTCAGCATGTGAGAAAAGAGACTCGGCACCTAGCTAGACTGGACCCATTGTCACTTGACATTTTGATGATAGTGTGCTATTGGACAAGCACTTTATGAGCAAACTTGCTGATCTTGCTTTTCTTGTTTTTAAAAAAATCCCACAAAGGCAAAAATAGTACAATTAATTATACGAATCAAGCTGCCAGGGACCCAAACACTAGATATTCATGGCTAAAAGTATGCATCTCCAAAGGATGCTTCATCTGCTCTGCTCTTGATATATTTTTGGATTGGAAATACAATTTCACTCTCTTCCTTATCTAATGGTACCGTGAATGGGCAAATGCTAGAGAGCAGGCTGTGTTCAAAAGATGATACCATCTGAAGGAGCTGAATGCAGGACTCCGCTGCAATTCCAAGCCATAGCAAAACAAAAAACAAAACAAAAAACACCCAAAAAACCCCAAATCCCAAAAATGGGATTGTGCATCTTTAAGAAACAACCAATTGTTTAAAAGTAAAGCATAAAATGTTCACTGGGGGTCTTGCTACCAAGTTGTTTTACCTTGGAAATAGCTTAGATAGCAAAGCCATTACCTTTCCGTTCTGTCTTGGGTCCTGTTTCATCTTAGAAATATATTAAGGAACCAGAGAGCAGGAAGAAGACACGTGATAGGTTTCTATTCCTTGGGGAACCAGAGAACCGCTGGCCCCCATCATGACTGTGACGGTTTGTCCTTCTACCCACCTGTCCTGCAGCACAAGAGTTGAGGTTTTACAGAGTTTTTGTTCAGTCCTGCTCTGGAGAGAGCTGGTGTGGGGTGAAGCCAGCCCTCAGTGCTAGCGGCTGCTGTTCTTAATCGCTTCCTTTGCTGCAATAATCAGAGGAGTCAGGCTGGAGAGAGGCTTGGCTAGTTTTAAAAATGGATGCTACCAAAAAAGAATAAGAAGAGCAGATTAGTTTCCTTTCCAACAAACATTTTTCAGACAGTCTTCCTGGAGTGTTTTTGTGGTTGCTCTGTAATTAAGAACACAAAAACATATTGCTCCTGGGTCAGGGTCCAGGTAACCATCTCGCATACTTCCATTCAAGAACTGATCAAACACCGCCTTAACCCTGGTTGTTTGCCCCTGCTACTCCTATTGGCTAGGGACAGACATTACACATAAACCAGTTTAAGTGATCAGAAACTGGTTTAAACCTGTAACAGAACAGATATTCAGTGCACATAAACCAGTTTGAAAATGGCCAAAACTGGTTTGAGATAAACCTGGTTGAATGTAGTATCAGTCTTAACTGATTTGGCTCAAACCGGTTTATGCAATGTCTGTCCCAGACCCCTTGCTGGTTTAAGTTAAAGAAGAGACCCCCAGCATCCCAACATGCTCTCTGGGCTCAGCTGGCCCCTCCTCTCTGCTCTCTAGCTGGAGCAGGGGTGGGGCTGGAAGTTGCAGATCAAAGAATGCAGAGCACTACATTTACATTATAAAGCAGAACCTGTAAACCCTAAACATCGTCTTTCTGAATGCCTGGCTGTAAGGAGACACTCTGCCCTCAGGATTAGTAAGGCTTATGCAAGGCTTTCTCTCGTCTTCCTGCTTTACATTTAAAGTTAAACTAAATTGCGTATGCTGTGTTTTATTGGGCTGTATCTTAGCTTAGGCACAGCTTTTTGGTTGTTCTCTGTTGTATGCTTTGCAAATTGCTGGGTTCAATACATGCTTGCTTCAGAGAAAGGACTTTTTTCCTATCCCCACTCCTCAGTCTGGCAGCAGCTCTCCCTCACCCGCCCCCCCCCCGACTGGTGGCTGGCATCCTGTGTGTCCTGCTAGCCCGGGGTGGTGCCTGGCACTACCACCTCTGCGCCAGCAGGGAGGGGTGTGAGCCTTGGAGGGCATCGCTCTTCCCTCCCCTTTGAGAGTGGCTGGCAGGCATGCTCTTGCACCTCCCAGGCTTCTGGCTTGAGCCACTGCAGGCATGTGTCTGCATTTCCTGACTTAACAGAGAATGCCTGTCCAGTTATTAATCAGTGTAAGCTCTGCAGCTTAAACTAACCTGCAAAGACTGAATCAATCCAGGCTTAGGCTTTTTGAATGTCTGTCCCTAGCCACTGGGAGGTGTTCCAGAACCTCATTCCTCCCCTGGCTTGAAAACTTTGGTTCTAATGCATGATTCTAATTTAAAAATTACAGAGTACTATTTAAGTTTTTGAAGGATACCAAGGGAAAGCCGATTCCTAGGTAACATAAGGATGAAATTAGCCCAACTTTTTGGGGGCCCTGATCCTGTATTGAGAAGCACTGATGCACAAGTTCTAACTGAAGACTCACCTGAGTTGCCTTGTATCAGAAGGCAAAAATTTGACTGCAGTGGGCTGGGTGACATAGTAAGTTCACATATTAACACTGCTCCTTCAGTCTACTCCATGGAGATAAAACAAGCAATTTGCCGCCCTCCAGCATCCCAGGAGGTACTTGCCCTGTACCCCCCACAGAGCAAGGATAAAGCCCAAGTGTCCTGGCTCTTAACTATGTCCCTGCACACCAGACTTCTAATGGCAAGTCAGAGCTACGCAGGCAAGAAATGGTATTAAACCTTAGCATGCAACATTACAATGACTTGTAACTGTTCCAAGTGAACACATGAGACCTCCCTCATATTTGCAGGATATAAAAGCCACTTTTCACTTGCAGTCTCCTCCTTTCCCTTCCCATTTTACCTGCAAAAGCTCCTTGGCAGATCCTCTCCTGTCTACATCCATCTCAAGACAGCGGTTCAGAAAGTCTCGGAACACAGCAGAGAGTCTCTCGGGATTCTGCAGTTCTGGAGTGCCATTGGTAGCTATCAGATATAATGCCTAGAGACAAAAAAAAACAACCCAGATGGTGAAACCTCTTTCTTTCAGGTCCTCAGCTTCTCACACAGATTTTTGTGTTCAAGGCCAAGTCCATATCAGCCACCTTTTTAGAATGAAGTTCAGAATGTGCTTTTCGATGACATCCCTACACTGGCAGAGGCCCTTATGAAGACAAAGCATCAGTAGACAGGACCTGACAAAACTTCTAGGTGTAGCACAGGGCTAAATACATACTTCAAAAGGAAGCTGGAATATTAAAGTGCATCTCTGCAGCGTTCACTCTTTCCTCCAGCAATGCTTACATAAGACTGCAGTAGACATTTTCATTCAATTCCGGGCAATTGGCAATCAAAGGAATTTTGAAGTTAGCACTCTGGTGCAGTGAGTCAGTTTTGAACTTGGATGGGAAGACAAGAAATTTAGAGCCTCATTTTCAAAAGACACGTACAATGTCGTGCCTAATTTATGTGCACATTTCTATGCACACAAAGGAGATGCATGGTTGAATGGAAGCCTGTAAGCCAGATCTTTTACAGCAGTCTACAAATTCCATATCAGCTTTCTTTAAATGAAAAATTAAGCTTTAATGAGCTACATAGGAAAATGATTAATACTATCCATATGGCAGGGCCACATTCATTATTTTGATATTGACTTCCACATATTTCATGGTGTTTCCATGCTTTCAAAATGTAACAATGTTCTCTATTGCCAATGCATAACTGCATCACAGAAGTTGCTAGGGAGTGAACTGGGGGCTTGGGACAGCTCAGCTAGTGACAGTCAAGGGTTTCCTCACGTGGAGAAGCAGTTTGCAATTTATGCTTCCAAGTAAACCACCCATTGAGATGAATGAATTCACACCTTAGAAAGGTAAGACTATATCCAACATGCTCGTTTCGTGTTCAAAGTTTATCCTCACAACTACAAGGGCTGGAAATACATTTTGAAAAACAAAAACACTGACAACTACAAGTCTGGAGAATTCTTGTGTCCCAAGGACTGAATTCCACCAGTTTGGGAATTTGGGGGGAAAAACAACATTTTTTTCCACTCATTTATTAAATCCAGGCTTTTAATATTCATGGACAAAACTCAGCCTAGGGCCCTCATGAACTGACTTCAGACAACTGACTACAGACTTCAGACATCCTGTACTTCCAGGCTGCTCAGAAACCTTTCTGACTTTCTTGTTCCAGGCATCTAATTGTGACACAGTTGTGACGAAAGGGCATAGACAAGGACTGTGAAGATCAACAGGCATGCCTCACTTGTGACCTGAGCACAGAAGGCAACCGACTTGATTGTCTATGCCTCGACAGGATGTTGCTGCAACATAACGTTTTGAATCGTTACCAGGACAGCATTTGCACAGCTTGCAAAAAGGAACTGTGGGACCCCCATCGAATCTCTGAGCCTGGACTTTCAGAATGGTAATCACAGACCTGGAAATCCCCAGTCCATACTGTCCCTGCTAAAACACCGCCAGCTCTGTCTCTCCGGCATTTCAGTACACGACTTTGTTACTGTCTTAAATATAGGGCCTGGCATTCATAGCAACTGCTTCTCACAAGCAAACTGATACTTAAGTGTGTTATCAGAGGGGTCCCAGATTCTTAGGACAGATTCTGATCTTACTCACACCAAGGTACATCCACGGTAACTTAATTTGTGGCATCATCTCTCAGAGCTGCCGAATTCATAGTTGAACTGATTTCTCAGTTGTCCCACCTGCGTGACTCCAAGTGTACCAAAGACATTCATAACATCAAGCTGAATTCTGGTTCCCAACAGATGCCAAAAATTACTGACCACTGCTTCAAAAAATGGCCTTTGGGGATGGTAACTCATATGTATGAGCTGAAAACCAAGGACTCCAGCTGAACAATATAGTTGAAGACGAAGGGCTCCAGTATTACCATGACACACTCATGAGGTCACCCTTACAGGTGACTTTGGTAAGTTTACATCATGGTAAAAATTATGCAACTTTCTTTTCTCTAGGTTTTTACTTCAGGATCACTTAGATGAATTACTCCGAGGTGAACAAAAACCCAGAAGTTTGTTAGTAGTGGAGAGATGTACCAGTTGTATCTGCCTTGTTCTGAATTCAAAATTAAACATGAGCAGCAAGTTAAATACAGCAGCTCTTTTATTTGTTGATTCACTGTGCTATTTTCTTCATAATACATGAGTCATGAAGAACAGTCAGCTTTGGCCAGACACTGCAGTCTTTGAATATTGCTATGGCAAAGGGAAGCAGAAAGGGAGGCGGGTGCATTTATGTCTCATAACTATCCCCAATGACATCAGGAGAAAAAACTATCCTATACCAAAAACATAAGAAAATTTTATATATGTAGTAAATGGATTTCTACAAAGGGTGGGTAAGTTCAGAAATGTATTTGGCATAGCAAGAAACCAGGAAGGATTCAGCTGATAATTTTACAGTTGCAATTTGAAAGCAATATGCAGTACTTTTATGGGTCACTGAGACATGGGAGGATTGATTTACAGAGGACTCTGAAGTTTGATATTGTAGGATGTCAAGTACTCCAGGAATATTTTGCAAAAATTGATGCACTGAAGTTTAGAGATAAAACAGCCAAAATATGTTTGTTTTTTACTTAAAGTCAGGGTGAGCCAGCATGGATTTCAAAGCATATTTTTTGTATTAGGGCTTGGGCACATCTCTGGTACACTTATAATCACTGTGAAATGAACCTAACACTTGCAGGGTATATTCAGGAACTAGAAGCTAATTCTCCAGAGGGTAGAGAAAGGCACATGTATCCTGGACTCTCTGTAACTAGTGAAAAGGCTATAAAGAATCTGACCAGGAGGGCACATGTTTATTCTAGGTCTGGGAAATGACACCTGCATCTGCATCAGGACAGCTATTAACTCAGTTTTTGATTAATGACTTTTAAATGCCTTTATTATTTATTTATACATTTATATTGGTGCCAGCACCAATAGCAACTAGGTGCCTTACATTATTAAAGCAATCATTCATAAAATAAAATCCCTTTCAACTTCAAGCCTTGCAGCACTCCCTGTATGCAGACAAAATGCAACAATCACAGTGACATGCAAGTCAGCTGAAAACCTGGCCAAACAAGCAGATTCCTAGAAACTGCCCTGACCATCCAGGAATAGTGTTTTTGGATGCACAGACCCTTCACTGAGGATGCCCTAAAGAGTTTACCCCTGGGAACAGAGAGTAAGGACAGATTTCATAGATTTCTAGAGTCAGAAGGGTCATCGAGTCCAACCCCCTGCCCCCGACAGGAAAGAGCACTGGGGTTATGTAACCCCAGCCAGGTACTTGTCCAATCTCTTGTTGAACACCTCCAAGGTAGGGGAGAGCACCACCTCCCTTGGAAGCCCATTAGAATTTTTTCCTGATGTCTAACCTAAATCTACTCTCCTTCAGTTTGTGGTTGTTATTTCTAGTAAACCCGAGGGGTGCCCTGGTAAACAGAGTGTTCCCTATTCCCTGCTGATGCCCCGATGAGCTTGTAGAAAACCACAAGATCACCTCTCAGCCTTCTCTTGCAGAGGCTGAAGAGATTCGGGTCCCTCAGTCGGTCTTCATAGGATCTTACCTGCAGGCCCTCAACCATACGAGTAGCCCCCCTCTGAACCCTCTCAAGGTTATCCACATCCCTTTTGAAGTGCAGCGTCCAAAACTGGACGCAATACTCCAGCTGCAGTCTCACCAGTGCCTCATAGAGGGGAAGTATCACCTCCCTAGACCTGCTCATGATACACCTACTAATGCAAGAAAGAGTGAGGTTAGCTTTACTTATTACGTGGTCACACTGGCAACTCATGTTCATTTTTGCGTCAACTATGACTCCGAGATCCCTTTCCACCGCCGTGGTGCTCAGAATGGTACTTCCCAGTCTATAGGTGTATTGGAGATTCCTTCTCCCCACGTGCAGCACCTTGCACTTACCCTTGTTAAATTGCATTCTATCTTGATCCGCCCACCTCCCCAGTCTATCCAAATCTGACTGAATTCCTTCCAGTGTGTTTACCGTACCCCATAGTTTGGTGTTGTCTGCGAATTTGGACAAAGTGCTTTCAACCCCTCATATAAATCATTGATGAAGATATTAAACAGCACTGGTCCAAGGACAGAGCCTTGGAGGACCCCACTGCCCACATCTCTCCAGGAGGAAACTGACCCATCCACCACCACTCTCTGGGTGCATCTCATTACCCAGTTTTTCACCCATCTTACTGTGAAAAAATCCACCAGTCTACTCTGGGTGGGAAATGGTACAACCAAATGAGAATGCAGCCACAGGTCAGAAGCCTAACTAGTTCTGCACCTCCTAAAGGAGTTCCAGTCAGCTTGTTGGGATCAAAGAGGTAGCAGGATTGTAGCATTTCAGAGAGCCATCTGGTAAGCTGGTGACTAGAGTCATTAATGGACTGTGCTTGATTTGAGGCCAAACACAGAGCAAGCAGGTTCCTGTGAGGAAGCTGATAGTGTATTGAATGCTTTCTTCACAAGGAAGCACCGCAAAACTGGTGCCACTCACAGACCATCTCAGTAGCACCACAGATGTAGTCACATGTGTCTTCTCTTATACCTACCATAGTATGCTTGATCAGTGTCATGATGAATGTCCCCTCCCAGCCTCAGGGCCCAACTTTCCTAGGTCTAAAGCCCCCACCGTAACCTTACATCATCCCACAGGGTGGACTACTCCCTATTTTGGGAAGCTGCAGTATCCCTTCTGTGAGCACCACTCCTAAAAAGCCTACAGTTTTCCAGGAAAACCAGGAGTGTTTGATATAAAGTGTACCTAAGAAAGCCTAACCCTGTAGCTTTTATTCATGTGAAACACGGAATATGCAGATCACTTCTGCACTAACATTCCTTCTTTAGTGGCAATGACCAATGCCCTTTTTCCTTTAGTATTAATTCTGGGCACATCCACATATGCAAGCACATGTACTTGCAGCAGCTCAAATAGAAGCAGTGCAAATTTGAGCCGGGGCTTTTTGCCTCAGCACACATGCCTGGACATGAACTTTGATGTGGGGCAATTGTGCCACTCAGGGCAAAATAACCCTACCTGGCTCCTTGCAGATCTGCAGCCAGGGGGAACTAGAGCCTAGGGCCAGCACTTGTGGGTGGCTGTGGAGGGATGTAGGGGGCCGTGGGGTGTGTGGACGGATTGTGGGGGGACTGTGCGGGGGCTGCTCAGGACTGCAGCCCCTCCCCACACAGCTCACATACTGCTCCCCCACAGGAGCCACATGCCCCCCCACAGGGGCTACAGCCCCTCCTACCAGCCTAACAGCACAGAGCCCAGGTCCAGCTCCCTGAGGCTGGTACCATGGATGACTGGTGCCTCTTGAGTCAGGGGGAGTCAACATGCCCCCCCGACACCATTCAGTGACCAGGGGGGAGGAGGCAGTCACCCCTGTGCGCCCCCTACGTGTTGCCACTGGCTGGTACGCTGATTGCCTGCACAGGCAGGCAATATGCTTCAGCACCAGGGCAAGGGCCAGCCGTAGAGACACTCTCTGGCTGACTACCAGAGTGTCTCGATGAAGGACCCAAGCCTCTGGTTGACTCAAGGCATGGTCCTGGACCATACCCTGTCCCCCTTTTTTTGCCCGAGGTATTTTTTGACCCCTGGAATCCAGGGGTCTAATTTTGCCCCCGTACCACACTTCTGCAGCGCAGGGAACATTTTTTTGTTCCTACACATGCCTCTTGCAGCATCTCAAAGGACTTTGAGATGCTGCAAGAGGCACGTGTGCACTCATCTGGACACACCCAGTAGGTTCTTGCAGAGGCAGCAGTTACAAGGGGCTAATGTGTGCAGTCTGGATACCACAGACGAGAGGAAATCCAGCCCAGAACCCATGAAATCTAGAGGCTATACTGTGGTCTACTTGTCTCTACTCTTCAATCTCTAATTATTTATAAAGCATTAAGCCCTTGGCTTGATTCCCCTGATGGGAGGGGAGTTACGTATTGTCTTTGCTTGTGTCAGGCTCGGCTGCTGCATCCCACAAGGAATTCACCCTTAGGGGAGGAAAAGCGTTTCATTCAGTCATGTAATTATGTTCAGTTTTGCTTTAATATTCATGTTATATGAAAATGTATTAACTTAGGAAACAAACATAATTATTTTAATTTTTTTCTGAGAAACTGTATATAAACAGTATAAGTGCCACAGTTTTGTCCTAAAAATGTTTGTACTAAAATACAGCGTCACAAATATCCTCGATAAATAATTAGAGAATTTAGTACAGCAGAAGGCATTTCATGAAAGGATCAGCTGACAAATATGTGCTGATCTGTGTTTCAAAATTCCCTTTTTCCTGCATTTCTGTTTGAAATTCTTTTCACAAAGACTTCATCAACAGAGATACTTGGAATAGAGAGATCCTTGTCATCAGAGATACAGATGAAGGAGGCTTCAGAAAACAAGCAGACATCCTGAGAGAGAAATTTCAAACAGCCCTCCAGGCAAAAACAACACATTTGTAGACTGACTCCATGTCAATACTCTTCTGAGGCTGCCTCGTCCATGTGTCGGAAGTGACAGAATACAGCGATATGCTGCAGGGACATTGTTAGAACTGGTCCTCTTGCGAAAATATTTCAGGCTAGTGTGGCTTGGACAGGATTTTATACTGAAACCTAAGAGGCTGGAAAAGAACGGTGCCCACATGATTCTTCATGCAACCTACCCTGAGAGGATTTTCATTAAGGTACGGAGGTTCTCCTTCCACCATTTCTATTGCCATGATCCCTAATGACCAGATGTCCACTTTGGGGCCGTATGCTTTTCTCGTCACCACTTCCGGTGCCATCCAGTAAGGAGTCCCCACCATTGTGCTCCGTTTACTCTGCTCAGGCGTGATCTGAGCACAGAACCCAAAATCAGCTGTGGAGAAAATGAAATATGGTTAAAGCTGGCTTGGACGATGAAGCAATCAAATATATACTCTCAGTTAGGCATGCAAAAGTACACTGATGTATCTAGCTGGAAACACAGCCATGTTCTTGTTCACATAAAAGGAGTGGCCAAGCAAATATTCAATTTAACTATCTAAGCTCACTGAAATCAAAGCCTGAGCTTGTAGCTTTTGTTCACATAAGAAACTACACTTTGTTAAGGCCTTTAGATGAGAGCTCAGCCACACAATCAAGTAAAATTAACCGCCAATCTATATTTCAATATAACACTTTGATACTATACTTCCCTGTGCTCCTAAAATTGTTCTCATACCAAATCTTTCTTACCAGACATTGGCTAATGCACTATCATGCCCTTCTGATAACTGGCAGTCAGTTAGCAACAGTTCTTCAACTTTTGCTGGAATAATGCCACCTGACCAAGAATACCTACTCAATTTGACAGATCCATCCATCCCGAGAAGAATGTTGTCACTCTTGATGTCTCTATGGATCACTTGGTTTGAATGCAAGAAATCCAATGCTTGCAGGCACTGATATATAACAAGGAACATAAACATAAAAATTAATGGTCTGACTTCATCACACGGGGGGAAAAAGTCTCTGAAAGATTTAATTTCTAGATGAATTGTGAGTAATGGCAGAATATTGTGCTGTCAAGTGAAATAGCTTGCTGCTTCAACACTATTAGAATAATAACTTTCTAAATGAAGGCACATTAGCTTTTGAATTGGAAATGTCAATTATTGTTACAGACTATACCCTGAAAGCACAGACGGAATGATTGCTGCTACAGTGAATTCACCATCTCTGCCCATATGACAAAGTATTATTTGCCAAAAGAGAAAAAAAAAAGTTCTTTCAATAAGGAACGGACCAGTTTTTGGCAGAAGGCTGCATGACAAAGACTTTATTGTTAGAATCTATAGCAGGTTTAAAAATATCTCTTTAGTCATTTTTCAAAAATTAACTCTGCTTTAGGTGAACTTCCCTCATTTTTAGCTGCATCTTTGTGAAGTAAGCATCTATTTTTACTTGCAGCTTTTAAAATTCTGTGGCAAGACTATTTCCTTTACAGGCAAGGAATACAGTTCAGTGATGGCCCATCCCAGAAACACCAAGCAAAGAGACACATCAGAAAGAACAGCATCAGAACAGCAGTTTGCTATGAGGGTGGTGGCTACTAATATAACATAGTTCTGACCTCCTTTCTGACGCTCTTCTCTGATACTAGAGAGGCACCTTAAAATGAAGTTGGGAGTATGAGGCCATTCATGTCCTTACCACAGCATGATACTATGCCAGTCTGCATATCCATGCACAGCATCTCTTACCTCCCTACAGACAGCTGCTATTTGTCCTTCGTCCATACAGGTCTCTGTAACAACGTCAGTTAAAGAGCCTCCTGCCAAGTACTCCATAACGACCCAGAGTTCATCACCTACTAGGTAGCTGAAACAAGAAAGCAAAGACGGATGCAAGTGTGAACAATTGTTTTAGAACTGTCTTCAGACAATCACAGTTGATTTGGCCTATTGGTCATTTGGTCATTTTTCACAGAAGACTGGGTTTGGTCACTCTTTTGGTTGGAAAAGAATTTGTAGGTCCCAGGACCAGATCCTACTCCACCTCTTAGGTGTCTAACGGGACTGAGGAGCCTAAATATGACCCTACTGGAGTCCCTGAAAAACTGTTAACATAAAAGATGGGTGGGCCCTCCTCCTCCTCAATGCTTTATTGTGACTTTCTTTTAAAGCTAAGGTGATGGTGTCTTACAGAAATAAATGCATTAATGAATTTTCAGTGGCTCAAAGAAGGTAGTGGAAAGATCTTACCCCAGATGAAAAAGGCATTATTCTTTAATACCACAAGTACATTATGCAGTAGATTTATATCCTAGACTTTAGAAAATAAAATTGCAGTTTAGAAAATGTGAAGGTAGATGTTAAACTGGGATGCCTATATTCCCCATTTCAGATGATAATATGTATAACAATATCACAATAAGATATTCCAAGAGGAGTAAGATAACTTCTATACCAGCCCATGGCAGCTGTGTGCAAATGAGAGTAGAACTGGGTCAACAATTTGAAACATCTTTATATTATATAAAGATGAGGAAAGAAATGCCTTAGTGTGCCACCTACAAAATACAACTCAACTGAAGACGCGTGTTCTTCACTCAGCTTATCCAAAGCAAAGATTTTGCCTTTCCCATCAATATAAAAAACAGTTTAGAAACTAATAATGCATACACTTATGAAGTGCTCTGACAAAGGAACTTCTCTTTAAATCAGATTCGTAATTGTATAATGTTGTTTTTTTTCGTTAAATGAATGTAAAACTACCGATATGTCTCTGTTTTCCTTGAAAGACTTCCTTAACAGTATTCCACTGGGAAGCACTAAATGGTATCATTTCTGTTTACCAGTCCCCTTAATAAAATATTGAAAATGGACTTGATTAATAATATACAAACGTTTCTGAAATCGCCAAGTTGTTTTCATAAAGGGACATGCTGGGCCAAATTTTCGAAGCATATCCTTTAACCAAATTAAAGAGCTTATGTGAAGAATAACTCCATTGACATGTGCACGTATACATGAGCCCCTATTGTGAGCTCATCTGATCACAAAATTTAGCCCACCTGTTTTTGTGGGGGGGGGGGTTTAATCTTTGACCCACAATACATAAACAAGCTCTAAAAGGAGAATAGCTGCCACAACTTACCTGTCTAAATAATTAACAATGTTGGGGTTCTTATTTTCCCTCATGACCAGGATTTCATTAATAATTAGTTCCTTTTTGGGCTGCTGTTGGAGATTCATCTGTTTGATGGCCACCTAAAATGACATTATGTTAAAAATACTAATTATAACAGCATGCATTTACAGCAGACCAGAATGAAAGAGAAGTCAGTGTGGATGGAAACAGATGTTTCAGAACATCTGAAAACTTACACCAGGCTCCCTTTTTATTAGGCATCAGGGCTTGGTAACTGACATCACCAAGGTAGGCTCCGTGTTGTGAAATGCACCCTATTTCCGCCAGTACTTGGGTGCCAATGACAGGACACATTGCCTTACGCGCTTGTGTTGTGAAGTATGCAAAATAGTTTTAAAAATATCAACTGCAAATTTAGCTTGCTACTCTGGGGTCTCTAGATTATTCTAACATCATTTCAGTGTATTCCATAGATTATTATTTCATTTTTGCAATGCAATTAGTGAATGGTGCTTTGGAAATGCATAACAGTGGCAATATTATAGCAATAATACATGCTTGATAACTATTCTCCAGAATATTATTATTTATCCTATTACATAAATGGTATAAAATGTATATATCAATTGCACACAAAAATTATTACTAAGGTTGCATAGGCAATTTTAATTTGCACTAACTTCTGAGTGCTTGGCTTTGTGAATTTATCTTTTATCCAAGTTGTGTGCATGTAATTTCCTAAGTTTTTAGAAACCCAAACTGCAAAACCAGAAATTCAGTCATGTGGCATCATACCAATACCATGGCATCAGTCAAACTGCAATCTGCAGTAATCTGCAATTATGCCCATTCTGCCACTTGAGCTAAGCAGTAAGATTCACTAGGATTCACAGCTACAAAATGGTGAGCATCAAGAATCTTGAGTTGCATTTACAAGCACTGGAAGAAAACCACGGCCTCTTTTGACCATTTCTCCTAAAGAGCGACTCTTTCTCTCCTGCCCCCATCCCAGTCTTATCCTACATCTGCACCATGAGGATACCAACCCCACGCCCCTCACCTAGCCATGCTCCTGGCCTAGTCAGCCCAGGCCTCCACACTTCAGGCTCCTGGAATGCATAGGAGCATGCACTGCAGGGCCTCCACAAAACCAAGTCTCTGATGGGCCCAATCCAGCAACCGCTTAATGTGTATTGCTTGCAGTATTAGGAAAGACTAACTACCAGCTTTAGGGTTGCTGGTTGTAGCCGTGTTGGTCTAAGGACAGAGGCAGACAAGGTTCTTCAGATAGATGTGAAATCTTTTATTAAACCAACTAAATAGTTGGGAAAATTGTTCTTTGCAAGCTTTCAGGCATAAGCACCCTTCTTCAGGCATAGGGAGAGTCTGTTGGTGTTGTGTGTGCTCTCCTCGGTAGAACAGAAGCCCATATGCAAAATGTGGGTCTATGAAAGGTTAAGAAAACCTTGTCTGCCCATGTAACTACCAGCGGCTTTTACTGAAGTCTTTGAAAATTGAGGGGCTCAACACCTCTGAAAGCAAGGGCGTTTTTATTTTGTTATGGCTTTAAGTGCCTTTCCTGAGTCACTCCAGCTTATAAATGTTGACATTTATACAGGTTTTTGCATAATTTAAAAAGCTTTGGTTTGAAAAGATGAAACTACTTTGAGATGACACCTCAAAATAACAGAACCTGAAAAGTTCAAAGTCAAGACATCCTTCATTCAAGACCTTGATCATTTTTCCACAGTAGAATCTGTGACCAGCTATTGAAAGGGTCGCACATATATCAAGCTGGAATGTCATCTCCTGTCTATGATTAATGACCTCAGCATAGCTGCGTGTTTTACAGTCAGACTTTTGCCCTGAATTTTGAGCATCTCTTGTTTTTAAATGGGCAGGGTTAACCAACGTCACTATCACTAAAGTATAAAATTGTGTTTTAACAGTACTTTGTCTTTTAACTTAATACTTTCAATGTACTTTGAAGATGAAAAGTGGTATAGAAAAGGCTATGGACTATCTTTGCATCAGTGATCAAGATAAATGGAATGAAATGATGGCAATATCCATCAGATAATCAGACAGCAGGTTGTTGCATTAATATATTCAGTAATTAAAACAGAGCTAGTGTGTCCTTCTATGAAGGATATAAGGTCTCTTCTTACACTTTTTCTGTTATTCTTCACCATGTTACTGGACAAATCTTTTCAGTCACTATATTGAAACATACTTATTCCTAAAGTCAGTATGGGAAAACTTTTTCTAAACTAGAGATGGCCCAAGCTGTTCGACAAATGGTGGGCATCTTCCATCATGGGGTTATCCAAAGTCTTGTGGTTGTGCTGCATATTTAGACTGGATAGCTTACATTTCTAAGCAATCTGTGGTCTGGGCTGCACACGGTTTGGCAGTTATATGTTTACAGATATAAATTAAATTGATAAGTACCTCGGTACTAATCTAACTGCATCAAACTTGAGGCATTTCAGAGATTTACCTACATTATTTTCTAACCCAGGACAGTTACATGGTATAAAATATCTCACAGGTATTTACATATTTCTTTCTATGTAATAATCCATCCAAGAATGACACAACAGTGTAAGATGCTAGGCTACAAGTGACAATATTCATCAGAACACAAGAACTTACTTGAGGAATGAGTAACAACTGGGCACTTAATACAAATGGTGACATTTCAGGCCTATTCAAGTTAAAGGCAAAACTCATTGATTTTTCACAAGAGCCAGGGTTTCTTCTCAGGTGGTCAAAGAAGCCTCATTTACATTAATGCAAAATAAGTGAATAATCAACAAGGCACATTATTACTGATGAAGAAGGAGATACTGAAAAATACCATAAAAATTTGGGGTGAATGTTAGAACTCACCTCCTGCCCTGTAGCAATGTCTATTGCTGTATAAACTGTACCCGATGCCCTAGAAAGAACAGCAGAAACCAGGAAATAAAGACTCATATAGTTCGATCACAGTTATATGCATGCACACCATCACTGCTTAAAATATTTATAAAGCATAGAAAATAAGGGTCAGAAGGGACCTCAGGAGATCTAGTCCAACCCCTGCTCAAAGTAGGACCCTCCCCAACTAGATCATCCCAACCAAAGCTTTGTCTACCCAGGTCTTAAAAACCTCCAAGGATGGACCTTCCACCACCTCTCTGGGTAACGTGTTCCAGTGCTTTACTACCCTCCAAGAGAGAAAGTTTTCCCTAAAAACCTAAACTTCCCTTGCTGTCACCAATATTTAGGACAACGAAGCGGATCTCACTTTGCAGATAGTTAAGGAAACCTGAGGTTTTCCTTCAGGGAGAGATGGCCGAATCCTTGGCTGACCCCGAGTCAACTTGCAGTATTACTTCATAGGCTGTTTAATTGTGTACATTTACCTAGTGACTACGTTAGCTGAATCTCACAAGTGTAATAATACCTGCAAAGTCCTAGACTCCAAGAATGCATGCATATAAACAAGTGAGAGCCCTCAAATCCCCCTATGCCTCAACAACCACACGGCAGATTTTTGTTTCAAGGTGTGAGACATATGAAACACTCTTCACAGTCCTTGCACCCCCACTTCATTTTTGAAGCCAGTCCGGAATCTGCCTGGGAGCCACCAGAAATCAGAGCGACACACTGATCAGCATATGCAGGCTAGACAGTGTGGTTTTTTTACCATCTGTCCCCAGTGAGCAACGATTCTTTCTCTGCACTGCTTCTACGGATTAGAATTGGAAAGAAGGTAAACCACCCATTGGACTGAAATGCGGGGCGGGCTGTGGGAACATTTGCAAAGCCCACTGAAGGCTAACACCTGAATTACAGGACTAGCCCTCATACTGTGATCATCTAGAGCGCGCTTCCTGCTCAGCTGAGTAATTAAACATTTAAATAAGTGCAAAAGCCAGCAGGGGGATAGGAGGAGGGAGGTGGGAGGCCTTACTTAGGAAGTGGCTCACCGATCAAGAATACCGGACAACGAGCTAATTAGAACTGAAGCCAGGTAGTGCTGCTCAACTTTACATGACTGTCATGTTAGTGCTGATCACCTGGAAGCTGAACTCCTTCCACAGCATTTGAAATTTGACAGGCTTCCTTGTTTTGTGCAGGCAGCACCACAGCCAGCATGCTTGTGTTTGAAACCCTGTTATCGCTGGACATGCTACAGATTCTTTTAATATAAATGCAAATGCGTCTTTCTATTACTAATTGCGGAGATTAATCCAATTTGGTTTCAGAAAAAAAATCCAACATTTCCTCAGAGTGGCTAATACTGAGCAATACCTCCTGAGTTCAGGGCTGTCAGGGTTTATTTAAAAACAGCTATTTAAATGAGGATGCTTTCTGTATGCTCGAGGCCATCTGCAAAGAGTTTGGATGGATGGGTATTTTAAGTAAAGCTGTAAATTGATTGCAAACAGTCTGTAATTTTCATTAGGGACTCTGAAGTCTACGTGGCTAACATTTCTGATCAGTACCCGACTTCTAAAATGTTTTGTAAAATTGTAGGTTTAAGCTAGGAAGCGGCAGAGTCCTGGGTATAAGGCAAGTAACACAGATGAACCAAGATCTCACCTGCTCACGTCTACATACTGAAAACTCTTTTATGTTAGAAGAGCTAAAAATCAGCTGTGCCAATGTTCCCTTCTCTACCACCAGCAACCCAAATTTCACAGGTATTGTGTCATATCCTTGATCCTAATATGAAAGGAGGATATTAGGATTGAGCACCAAAGCTTACCTGTCCCCAAATACAACTCTGCTGACTAATCTGCTCTGTTTACTAACCAGATGGAGCACTGATGGGTGACTGCCCACACTATTCATTTTTCTCTAAAATCAAACGTTTCTTTGCAACTATTCTTCTAGGTAATCAAGTCTTGCACTCTAAATCGATAGTCCCCTTTATCAGAAGCTATTGAAAGAGCTAGCCACTCATTTCCTGGTCTATTATTATGTTTAATATAAGTGTATCTGATTACTTGCAGTGGAACACAGGAAACCAGCTCAATAGCTATGTCATCTTCATTAACATTAAGTAAATACATATGCAGAGGGGTGTCCACATCATCTCATTTGCTAGGTCTCATTTCTTTAAATATGCACATTAACTCATGGCCGCATTACAAAATAAAGCCTAAATCGATGACATCCCTTGCTTCCTACGTGCTTTGATTCTTTTTTGGTATCCATATGCAGTGCACAGTAAACTATTCCCTTTTTTCGCACTTGTGAAATACTTGAAGCAAAGCTCTAATAGCATGGCAGTCAAAATATATTTCCAGCTTGGCTGTTAGGTTAACCTGTTGTCCAGTTCATACACTGAAAAAGGGGTGTTTTCTCTACCAGGGTTGCACTGTATGTTGAGGTATCATATAAAGTCATTGTATATTTTTCCATCTTTTTAAAAACAATGGGTGAATGCAAAAATATTGCATTGAAGGAAGCATTTAATGATTCAGTTGCCAATCGAAAATGCTATAGGTGCAAAATCAGAATTCTCAAGAGAACAAGTTTTCTGTCTAAGGGTTTTTGCATGATTTTTAAAATCCAGGTAAAGTAACTTCTCTCATTATTTTCTTATTTGCAGGTCTGAGTGAAGCCATAATGTTTTAAAGTCACTCTAATATATAAAAGGTAAACCCAACAAAAATCTCAGTGCTTAAGGCTCTCCAGCACTTTCTACTGTACAACCCTGAAGCTGCATTTTTAGGGGTTCAGTTAAAATTGTTTGGCTATTTCTTCAAATGTATGAGTATTTTGGCTCCTGTGGGAAAAGCCATGCTTCAGACTAGGGCCCTGGAATCTGATAGGGGAGGATGGATCGCATCAGTGTCAGGGATGTGCCCTGTGCCACCTTCATGACACCAATAAGTAAAAACAGGTACAGACTGTGTCATAATGCACACATACAGAGAAAAGGAATCAAGAATGCATAGGCAACTTTAAATCTGACACTTCACAACTTCTGAAACACTGGACTGTCAGCCCGCAGCCTGCTGTTAACACAGACTTCTAGATGTTCATATATAGTTTAAGCAGAGATCAATAGTAGTCATGGGCTATTTCAAGCTCAATTCAGGGTAAAGATACAAATAACATTTACTTTATCTGAACTTTTCTGCTCATCCAACTTTCAAAATCAATGGCTTAGCATCAAAATAAATGATTTTGTTAATAGTATGATCTAAATGTGTAGGTCCCTGACAAATGCAGCCCATTGGTATTAACTTTGTTTCTTGGGTAAGGTGCCCTGCTAAAGAAAGATTTGTTCACTGTGACTTAACATTCTTCTCCTTTATTGTTTGAACAGGCAAGAAATTACCAGAGTTGGTTTCTGTGGCTACACAGCTTTCCCATGTACCCACAGACTAGGGCCATCAGCAAAACTGATGCTTCTATGTTTCACTCTCTCCGCCTAATCCTGAGTGTAAAGAAACGGCATCTTCGTTATATTGACCCGGTCGTTGTCTAATATACCAAAGTACAGCAGATATTAATTAAGATTCTCAATGAAGTTTAGAATATAAGTGCTGATTCTAGAAGCCCATCACTGCAGATGCTATAAGCCCAAAGTAACTTTAACATTTCTTATACTACCAATAGAATGGTTACAAAAGCTTCTCCCATTTCTAACCCCAGAAAATATATTTGTTTCTATGAATAACAAGACACTGGGCATGTCTACACATGTATTAATGTGCTTTAGTTAATGTGCATTAAATCTAGTACCTCCCATTGTGAGGTATTAAGAAAATGTGCATTAGCCTGTCTTAATGCCCATTAATTAAAGAGCACAGGATTTATACACGTGCTCTGGGAGTGTGTGTGGGGAAGCGTCTTATGTATCAGCATCCCCAAACTGAAAAATGGTGGCAGAGGCACTTTAACTAAAGCTCATTTGATGCTGCCACTTTTCAGCGCAGAGATGTTGATACACAAGATGCTGGAGTCTTCTGGAGGGCGGTAATTACCATGCTCCAGATGACTCGCTTAATCATGTCTGCTCAGTTGTGCTGTAATTACAGCATGTCAGAGCAGCTTCAGTGCATGTATATAGGCGCCCAGGGTGTTTAAGTGACCCTTAATGAGTATTAGCCTATTTTGATGCACATTAACTAAATAGCACGGTTTTTAGTGACGCCTTAATGAGCATTAAAATAGGCTACAGTACATTAAAACAAATGTGTAGACACTACCAATGTTTATAAACCCAGCCTAAAGGATTTTGACCAAAGTTTTCCATAAGATTTCATGAGGGCTATCAGTCAAACAAAGATATTACTTGTTCTAAAAATAAGGATTTCTGGCTGTGGTGAGAAAACTTGCAGTAACAGGTGGTATTAGCATTCATTTACTTCATCAGAGGATTGCAATTAACTCTTCCTCATCTTGGACAGCTCCAGTGAGAGCATCTCTCATGCTTAATCTCCCTGGGACTCAATTCCTCTGATGCAGCCAGTCAGAGGGAATTTCTAAAAAAGCCAATATCATACTGAGGTTTATATCTAATACACTTATTTCAAATGGCAGTTGTCCAGGAAATCTCAGTACCATTCTACCATTTACCTGCTTACACATAAAGCTGCTTTGACTTATTTAACCTTCATGGTTCCTCTGAAAAAGATTTTTCTCTCAGTGATTAAATCACCACCTGCTTTCCTGAAGCCGGTAGACTTTAACACAACCTGCATCAAGATCTGTGAAGGTTTTAAACCAGCTATACTGTTGTAGTGACAGTATAGCTGGTTTAAAGTTGTACTTAAACAGTACTGTTGTAGTAGACAGTGTACTGTCTACTACATCCCACAGACGGATGGAAGAAATGACAATAGGCATACAGCATATTCTCCTCTCCCACAAATGTTACATTGGTGTTTTAAATGCAGTTTCTACTGATTTGCAAACAGTGTGGCTGAAGAAGAGAATCAGGCCAATATATCAAAATGCCTTCATTCGTATTAATATGAGAAGATAAATAATAGACAATATTCAGTAAACTCTTAATACTTCCTTACAATCCTAATACTTAAGGGAAACCACAAATCCTGTCAACTGTTGAGGATTCTGTGAGTATGAACTGACATGCTTTCTAGACACATATTAGCAAAGTATTTCATCTATCTAAAAAGGTAACTGTACTTACCCCTGACCAATTTTTTCAAATCGTGTATATTTCTTCTTAGGGTCTCCAACACTGACAATACTTCCTGTAGGAAATGAGAACAAGAAAGCTCACTTGAGAAAGAACATGCTATATTTTCACTGGGAAAAATAAACAAGTATTGCTTGTAGTATGTGCAGTTTATATTCAGTTTATATGCTAGGACTCTGGTTAAAAATAAGTGCAACAGTTCAATCATTCAGGTGGCATCCGCTGTTCTTTGAACCACTGAGGAATATATTTTCCTCTGCAGGAAAACAGGAAACTCAAAACATGTGGTATGTGGAAGAACATATACAAGACACTGATATGAGTTAAAGAATGTATAAACATGCAAATGAATATCTGTCTGTTGTTTAAATGTTAATGAGACATGGAATAACAATACTAATATTTTCTAAGAGCTAGCTAGTCTTGGTATGGCTCCAAAGAGGGCTTAATACTTTCATAGATTAAATGCAGCTTTGTTTTGGGTTCTACTTTTGTAAATAGTTGCCATTTAGAGAATGGAAAGCAAATGATAAAAACATTTTCAGGAGTAGCTCTCCATCTGCCTCTCCATGGTTTACTGAGCAAATGATTTCGCCTGCTTGAGGAGTAATATCAAACTAATTATTAGTGGGTCTTTGAGAATTATGCAGTTTATTATTTATTCTCTAGGCTTAGCTGTCAAAAGATCTAACTTGTCTAATTTATATGAGAGTAACGCTGCTTGTCTCCCCGCTGGCTTTGATCTGTAACAAACATGTTACTTAGGTACTCTACAGTGCACACATGCTAATCTTAATAAATGAAAAGGAAATTCAAATGGATTCTGAGAACGGCGACATTCTTCAGACAGATGCTTGCAACTTTCCTTTAAAACTTATTTACATTTTTTTATGGCAATAATGTTATAAGTAAGTTTCTCTCAATTACAGTGGGAGATGAAGCGCTGCCACCTGCTGCTACAATACTGCAACAACAGATTTGAGACTTCAGAGCCACCATTCATAATGGTATAAATACATTGAAACGACCTTTTTTTAAAGCATTAAGAATAATGGGGACACAAGTCCCACTCAAAGTAAAAAAATGCTAATAACGTTCTACTTTTTCACATGCTCAGAAGTGTTAATGGGCTGCAAAGTAGAGTGGTAACTGAAAAAGGGTGTCGGCATCAACTAAGGGAGCCAAAATTTGGTAAGGATGGAATCAAATCAAAAGAAATATTTAAAAAAATAATAATATTTCTTTTATTCCCTGGGCCAGCAGTTTCCAAGATAAAATACAAGCACTGGGAGAAAGTGTCAAAATAAAATGGTTTAATAAAATGAGATCTTAAAAAATCTTACCACTTAAGATTTAATAAAATACAAGCACTTAAGATTTAATGGCAGTAGATTTAGGAGGCTGCTAAAGATTAATTTATCATGTCCATAATTAGAACATTTTGAGATTATTCATTTTTGCTGGGGGGAAAAAAGCAGGTGAAAATATTTCTTGTTTGTCCATGTCTGAAAATCTACAGATAATCACACACACATTTCTGTGCACATGCACCAATCAGTTTAACTGCATTTCCAAATGGTAGAAAACTTGTTAAATTGCCAGTCGCTGTAATTAGTAACACAGAAACAAATACATCTGTCTTTCTCCTACTGCTGTCTATGGCATTGCTTTGGAGCCCAGTCCTTTGGTGTCTATTGCTGAAGGATGTCCGACCAAGTGCTGCCTGCCCACCTGGCCATTGCAGTGGGAAGCAGCACAGGTATTGCCTGGGATATCCCCTGCTAAAGGAATCCTGCTGACCAAGGCCAGATCTCTACTGGACACCTGCTAGGAAGGAGGGCTTTGGGGTGTGCTACGCTACCCACATAACCTGTGTCTTTTGAGTCGCTAGCTAGGATTCACTTCTGACCAGAACAGATACGTTTGCTGTCTGGGGATATCTCACTGCTCTCTCAAGTAGCCCAAAGCAATCCGCCCCACAGCTTCATCCCACAAGAGCGCAGCACCAGTTATTCTGAGCGCACCACTGAATTGCAAGTCACCTGTTCCCTGAAATGACTATTTCATGGACTTCATTAGATCTTAACAGTCTAAGCTAGTTGGGAGGGAGGGAGGAGCTAGCCAACTGACGCTCAGGCAGAAAAGTAGTAATTGCCACACGTTGATAAATACGGTATCAGTTGAAGGGAAACAGCCACTCGACAAGCCTCTCACTGATTTTCTCAAAACAAAACTTCAAAACACCATGACAGCTGAAATGCCATCAAGTCTGATCCCCTCGCACTTGCTGCAGGGGCTGCTGCCTGTTGCATCCTGCAAGCTGTGCCTTGCACCAGAACAAGGCCTTCCTTTAGATGCAGAGCAGCAATGTAAAATGTATTTACAATAAAAATGACACTCAAGCAAGGAAACTGTTTTTAATGCAATTAAACAATACATCCCAGGGTTTCATTCTGAGGATTGTAGAACAAAATCCTCTGTGTCATTTCAATCAAGGGACATACAGACATAGGCGATTGGTGCCTCCTAAGTCTGAGGGGGCACTCACCAAAGCTGTCGGCAGTGGGGCAGAGCTGGCATGCACCTGCAGACACCGCCAGCGGTGCCAGTGGCAGAGCTGGCGAGCATCCGCAGATGCCACTGCTGGCGTTGGCAGTGGGGACAACCTGTTGGGGGGGGCACATTGAGCACCTGCAGATGCCGCTGGCGGCGGCAGGGATGGTCCTGTCAGGGGGGGCACATACCTCACCCGTGTCCACCCTACCAGTCGCCTATGCATACAGAATCACAGTGCAGTGGCACCTCTGTTATAAGATGATTGAGCAACAAAATTATGACTAATGTTGGTTGTTTTAAGAAAAGCAAGCCATGATGGTGGCTTCTGAAATGTCACTTGTAATATGAAAGACATTTTGCTACACTTTAATCAGTCGTGGGACAGAGGACTCTCTTCAGTACCAGACACTTAATTCTCAACTGGGTGTCACTCTAACAGGGATGGTCCATCTAGGCCAAGAGCTTCCTCTCTTTACTTTGGATGCAGCAACCTCCTCTATCAATCCCCTACAAAAGCAAGGAGCACTAGCTGCTGGGGCAAAATACACTTTTGCTCCCCATCTAGTAGCTGGTACTCCAAGACCAGTCAGATTCCTTTTCACTCCACAGCAGAGACAAATAAACCAAGACTGGCTTCTCCCCAGCGCAGTAGTGGCAATTGCTTTTCAGCTTGAGCTTGCACTGAAAGATGCTGATAGCAGACAACAGGTGCAGCTGAACCAATGCTGAGAGCTGTTTATCTCCAAGCACCGGCTGTGTGCTGCACCATTTTAAAAACTAGTTAAAACCTGCTGCCTGAAAGGTGATAACTATAGTCCAAAGGGTTTCACACAGTAGAATCCTATTAGAGGAGAGTGATGTTTCCCTACAAAAGAAGTGAGTTTCAGGATACAAGAGGGAATGCACTGAAATGTATAATGCAAGACAGGACTTGTATTCTACTTCGCTATAACAATCTTCACTATAAACTGATTCTGCAGCCTAAAGGATTTTGACCAGTATAAAGAAGCAGCGAATCTTGGACTCCATTTCTTCTACTGGATGTGCATAGTCAAGTTACCTGCCAAGCAGCCGGAGGTGGGAATAGAGGAGTACTCTGTCCTGAAAGAGTAGTCATGCAGCACTGGGTACACAACTGGTAACTGGACCTAGGAATCACTGAATCTCTACAGTGCTGCACCCAGAATTATTATAATCATTGTAAGAGGAAAAACTCCTGTTAAAGTTGTGCCTCCCTCTTGCATTTTTCAAAACCCGTTTAATGATAACAATGTACCATTAAGATGACCCTCAGGTCACAAAGAGGCATAACAAGCTACCTATTTCCTGATATAAAAAACCAGAAAGGAATGAGATGAATGAACAGATTTTGGTCAAATTCTATAGAAGTGGCTACTGATTTGGGGATCTCAATCTTCAAGTGTCCAGCTTGACCACCCATTTTGAAAACTGGTTACTTCAGCTTTGATCCCCTTTCTCTTTACATAATGCAAATCAAGAGAACTACACTGAAGTCAACCAGTAATATGAATGCAAGGCTGTGATTCAGGAAAGCAGTATGTAAGCATGCTTACTCAGTGTCCTGAATAGTGTCAGACTTAAATACATTCTTCTGTACTTTCTGTTACCAGGTCCTAAGACCAACATACATGAACAGAGAACCAGGCCATTTACATTTTATATTGGTGCATTTGCAGATCTCATTATAGACAACTGCAGTTTATGTAAACTCAATACTACAGCATTTATTCCGCATGTGATGACAGTGGCACTAAGTTATTTCAAACAAAAGAGAATTAAGAAACTAATTTTAAGATAAAAGAGACTAGAGAACTTCCCTGTAGAAACACTGTAAAAATCAATTCTGGGTGACAAGACAAGGAGACTGATTAAAGAAGAGACATCATGGGGGTCAAAAACTAAAAGTATATACGCTTATGAATACTTTGCCTATAGTTACAGAAAAGAGTACAGTGCTCCAGTTTTCAGACAACTTATTCAAAGCGTAACAGGGTTTTCAATCTCTACCTCAGACACTTGCTGGTGGGAGACCTGCATAGGCCTTGCTCAAATGAATACCACACTCTTAAGAAAGTGAAAGGAGAACCAGTGGTAATACTTCAAAGAAATAAATGGAAGCAAACCAAGGACACCACGTTAATCTGAGTTACATGAGCAATTACAGCAGTACGTCTTGAATAATCCATGGCTGCAGGTATGGCTACATGATGCCTGCAGTGTGCCAGCAGATCTCATGCAAAAAGCATGCCTCATCTATTTAGCCTCAGCTAAGGAGGCCATCCTGCCTCTTATTATGAGTTGAAACTCAGAGATGATAATATAGCTTGTCACAAATCAGTCATTATTTTCATTGTGTCTGAAGCTAAGGCCAATGAACTGGTCATCTGGTTATCCCATCACTTGTTTGAGATGCAAGGCTTAACAGTCCTATCAACCTGTAAAAGGCATGTAATTGCCGCAGAAAAATCTACAGCAGGGCTTGAAATCCCACTTTTAAGGCTTTAGCTTTAGGAGTTGCATCGCTTTCCCACTGCTCGGCAGTGAAGAAGAGGAGAGATGTTAGCACAAGTTTGCGCAATAGAGTGAGGGATATATTTGCTTGGTTAGTGAAGAACCATGCTCTCTGCTGTAAAGATGATGCATTCATGCAGCACCAATTATAAGGTGTTGCATTATAGATTACCTCAAACATCTGTTCATTATATGTCAAAATGTTACATGCAAATTATAAAATGTTAAGAGAGACCTAAACCTCTCCATTCTCTGTCTCATGCAAGTGTCTGACAACTAGTCAGAGATGAAGACAGGCTGAACTGGCATATTCTAGGAACCTGAAAATCCATCTGTTACAAAAACAGCAGTGACAGACATTTTGCTTTGGAGCCTGATTAAACTTATTTCACTCTAGGCTCATCAGGGTTTGAAATATCTGGACCACAACCAATTCACGGTTTTTGGGCAGCTCACAGTTAGAATCATTATCGGCTTATCTAGTTGGGAATTAACCATGACAAAGTCTTATATGGAGTCTGCACAGTGCACTTTGTACATATTGATAGTCAGCTTCAGTGAGAGGTTTGCAGAGGTGCCATTTTAATCAGCATCTAATTATCCAGATCATTGAGACCTGCTCACTCCCTCTCTATTCTTTTTTTGGACACTTTTACCATCAGTAGAGCTCAAAAGTAAACTAAGCTCCAGAAGATTCCCATGAAGGGCACATTTGTTATTATTTTGTAAGATCCTTCCACTTTTATCTATCTTGATTTAATAACAGGTCTCCATCCATAATATCTGGGCACCAAATCCAACCCATGCACCCTTGAACACTTCTCTTGTCCTTCAAGAATGGAGCGTCTTGAAAAAACCCCAACAACTACTCAGTATGTAAAAAACAACAGTGACAAAAACTCCCAGAATATTCAAGACAAGACCTCCTGAAGGCTGGAGGAAATCAAAATGGTTAAAACTCTTTAGAACTGGAAATTAAATGGTAACTATAGCACCCTATTTTGTTGAGATTCCACCAGAATCTGCAAGCTGAGTGGAAACAGACTGAGTGGAAGAGGTCCAAGGAATACCTAGAGCATTTATACACATACCTTTTCATTCCGTGACGCACCGCAGATCCGCCACTTCAGAGCAGACTTGATTAATTGTGTCTGCTCTGCACACTAACTGACACACACTGTGCTCTGCCACATGCAGTTGTACAAGCAGCAAAATGCATGTCAGAGCACAGAAAATGGCGGCAGTGCACTTTTGAACTAAAGCACCCGCTATATATTTTAGTACCAAAGCACGCTGCTGCCATTTTCTCAGCACGAACGTGCATTTCGCCGCTTATACAACTGCAAGAGACGCAGCACTTGCATGTGTCAAAATGCCCATAGGTACCACAGGGAGTGATAGTGGTTCTCTGAAGCTTTGTTCTCGTTTCACAGCATTAATGAAACAAAGGCATTGGTAAAGACCACTCTACTACCAGAGGGCTCCATCTTTCAAAGAAGACATCAAACAAAGGTCTAAATTCGAGTAATTGCTCTGCTTACTTATCATTCCTTCTGAAATTTCAGCTGAATACATTACTAAGGGAGGATTTAGGCGCCTACAAATTAAATGCCATAAGCTTAACAGGTAGGTGTCTGTCCTGGCTGGAATCCAGAAACCTGAGTTAGGGTCCCAGGCTCTCTATACTGTGCTCAGAGAGAGTTAGGAACCACAGAAGGGAGATGCAAAATAGGCAGCACTCGGAGAGGTACGCTGCAGAGTGAGTCATTAAGATATGTCAAACATGGGGGTCAAGACTTTATGCATTTTATCCCATGGTTGATTTGTGTAAAAAGGTCAAACTGTCCTTGAATGCCTGGAGACCCTTAAGAGAGTCCTAATCAAGAAACTAGAGAGTCATGCTTCTGCTTGCTCCCTTCTTGTTGGCGCAATGAAAATTGGTATTTCTTTCCTACAAGGAAAAATCAACTAAGGAGGGAGGAAGTTGTTCTGCCTAGGAACAGTCTGCTGCTTAGGGCCCACCACGGGGAGGTAGGATGTGTGGATTTTAATGACTTCAGGGACAGAACCTGGAACTCTCCTGGGCAAGTGATCTGATCACTGCACTATTACTTAAAAGAGCAGAACCCCCCACCACTACCTCACTATCTTTTTTGAAGGAAAGCAACAGCCACCTCTGCATTGTGTGTGCGGAGACTGACCTACCAGGAGTGATGTGAGAATGCCTCTCTTACAGGAGGCAGGATGAGGAACATCTACTTTCCACATCCTGGTCAGTCTTAGGCCTGAAGTAGGCACTAAACAGCTCTGTGAGGACCCCTGGCATGTGCAAAAGCAGAACTTTAGATGCTTGGGAAATTTTAAGGTCCAAACCAGAATCATGTCTCAGCTTTTGGTTAGATGTGAGCAAGGGTTTTTTAGGATTGTAATTTTGGATTTAGGAACCCAAATCCCTCCTAAATCCCACGTTAGGCATTTAAATCCTTTTGTGGATGTGAGCTTTAGTTCTTGCATTAAACTGCTGGGCACATTAACAGTACTCTCGACTATGAACAGCTGTAGCATTCCACGCAAGAGGTGGCTGCAGTCCAGTAGTGGATGCCTTACAGGGATGCTATTACTTACAAGGCCAAATTAATCTCTGATATATATAACACCACAGTGCGCAGCATGGTAATGAAGATAAAGTCACAATTATCTCCTTTTTCTACCATTCAAGAAGCAGGGAGGATGAGGTAAGCTGGATTTCAATGCAGTTACCGGCTCAAATTCAAACCTGGTGTTGAACCTGGGGTTGAACTTGAGCTGTTAACTGGAGGTAAGACCCAGGCTACCTCCTCTTTGCTGAATTTATCTGCAGTGGGATGGGAGGAGTAGGAGAAGGAGTGCATTGTGCAAGCAGCAATAACTGATGGCATAATGCCACAGCAAGCTGGGAACGGATATACCTTAAGCAGAGCATGCTGCCCAGCAGCACATGCAGTGACTACAGAAGAAGTGTAGTAACATGCTCCTCAGCTCAGATCTGTAGCCACCTGTTGGTAACTCAGTGCACAGGGGTTTAAAAGACCATAGCTTTCAACTTATTCAGATATGTCCTCTCCGTCTGATACATAAGGGGTCACCGGCATTTCAAATATAGTCACCCCTTGAGCAGGAATTTTAAGCATCCCTTTTCACCCTCCAATAATCACAAGTACATAATATGAAAGTGTCTTAGTGACAATAAACTAGAGACAATCCTTCAACAAATGCACTGCAGGTGACAGATGCAGCAGGCTACCTTGTCAAGCCAGAAGTCAGGCCAGGACACTTACTCAATTTCTCTAGGATCTCCTCATCTGTCATCTTAGATTTTTTTCTTTGCCGGTCCGTGTTCCTGTACAATGTGTTTGTGTTTGAGTTCTCAGGCTGGGGGGTGGTAGCTTCTTTAGCTGGTACTGGTGCAGCGACAGGTTCAATTACAGAGCGCGTGTAAATCTGAGGCAGAAAATGATTTTTCAGTCAGAGAGGCAGGTAGGGAGAGACACCAGAGGTTATGCTCTAAGGGTTTTTGTTATCTTACAAATCTGCAAAAACAACTCAAATCACATTCCTTTCTTTATTTCATTAATCACATATTACATTACGGTGTTTAGGTTTGAATGTGTGTTTCACAAAGCCTGGATAAGGAAAGTTAAGTTGGTTTGATTCCTGTTTATGGGCATTTTCCTGTTTCAGGTTCTGTGTGCTGCTTGCTATTCTGTATTTCAAGCACAGGGGACACAGACCTTCTTACAGTCTGGTTAGGCCCTCAAGGCAGACTCTAAAATTGACAAGTAGGGCTCTGCGTTCATTGCAACTAAGTAATTCAGGAGCAAAAATGCTCAATTTACACAAGCAGCCTAAGAACACAGAATCAAGTCTGGCTCTTCCTAGCTCAGAGGTCAACATCTGCAACAACAGAATTTTCCATTTGGAACTTAGTTAAAAATTCAGTTGACGATGCATAAGGCAGGAGAGATTCCTTCTCACCTCCCAGAAGCTGTGATGGCTCCAGAGAAAACAGTGTGGAATAACAAGTAGCGAAAACCTTTGGGCACTTCTACTTGTGTACCAACCTGTTCCGATTACAACGTGTTGGAGCAGACTGGATTAACCGAGTCTGCTGGAGGTTTCTAATCAAAACGCTCCAGCACGCTGAACGGGCTTGTGCATTCAGCATCTCACATTTCAAACTGGCAGTAGGGAGACTTCAACTAAAGCTCATCAAACAAGCTTTAGTTAAAGTGCCCCTGCGGCTATTTTGAAATGTAGGACACTAAAGACATGAGATGCTGCAGGCGTTTTAATGAGAGCACCATCCCACAGCACGTGTATAGGCACTCTGTGTTTTTAACCAAGAGACAGATCTCTAAATAATACACAGGGTGTGTAGCTGCTATTTTAACACAGTCTTGTCTGACCATGACAGTCATTTAAATTGGCCCAAAAAATCACTATCGAGTATTCCATCCCCTGCATCCTGTGGGTCCAGTGTACTGCCTCGGTAGTACTTCCAGCTTTAGGTAGTTGAAATTAGGAACTAAACAAGGTCCTTCAGAGAAGTACCCAGCAGACCTCTGAGTTTAATCTAGATCTTGTATAATTTATTTCTGGCCAAACTCTAAAATCTTTATCCAAGCAAAAATCTTCCAGATTCAAAGGCTATTTACCTAAGTTAAAAAAAAAAAAATCAAAGAAGAAATTCACGATTTGTTTGAATCTACCAGCATCGAATCCTAGATTGCTGTGAATAGGAATAAATTGTACTTCCAGGATAGTTAATGCTACTCAAAAGAGCCTTTAGCTCTTCTTTGGGGGAAGAAAGCCATGAAAAAAAGTAAATGACATGCAGACATGAATATTTTGATTTGGAGCCATTTTGGTCTCATCCACAAAAAACAAGAGTTTTAAAGAAGCTAGTCTATTATATTGGGTCTTAGAACCTGTAGAATGATGTAATGACCGCTTAGATTGGGGGTGGGCAAAGTGGCGTGCAAGCAGCGGACTGCAGCACTGCCCTGGCTCCAGGCTATGCTGTCACCACCTCAAGATCCCAGCCCCAGCCCCAGAGCAGCTCCCTGCCAAGCTGCGCACACTGTCCCCACGCTTTCATGGCCCTGCTGCTGCTGGGGTCTCCATGGAAACCAGATGCAGTGA